ACCCAATGAAATATGATGGCTTGTGTGGCTCATAATCACGGGTCTGCCGATTATTTTCGGCACCACTAAGTTATTAGTAGTTTAGCCTCACCATGTCCCCTACTGGAACCCCAAGACAGTTGGTCAATATTATTTATGATGGCATCGGGTTGTTTTGCCCTACCCATCAACTTCCTTGCCTTTGACTCAGGTGCCTCTTTATTTGACCTGCAGTTTTCTATAGTTAGAGATTGATACTGGTGCTGTATAATGATAATAGATCAATGAGCTTACCAACGCAAAAAGATATCACGATCAGGGTCTGCAATAATTGGACTCAGGACTGGGTCAATATACGTAGTGCAAAGTTCAACTTCCCCAACAAGGCTTTTCAAAGTGTTTCTAGGGACTTTTTCTATACTAGTATATAATTAGAAATAAAAAGACATTAGATGCTATGAAGAGCCTCTTGTTTCACGATTCAGCAAAATCTTACATGTTTTTGATGGCCTTTAAAATAGAGATTTCTCCATAGGAACGATTGATCATGAGTGTCTGAAGTTCTGTAACTGCAATATCCCTTGTGACCTTTCCCTGCTGCAGTTGCTGTAACAAAAAAAAGGTATGTCATAAAAAAAATTTTCCATAATATAGAGAAAAGAAGAAACCATACCTTAACAATCTGTGTAAGCTTCATAAAAATTTCGATATCAATTTCTGTCTCCTGTTCAGTAAATCTCTGCAGCATGTCTTTGTGCATCACTTCCAATAATTCAGCACCAAAAACTTCCACCATTAGTGGGCAATGCTGCTTTGGTTTTAGGAGGAGAATGTGTGATAAGGACCTACAGAGTAAAGTGATTGCAATCAGACTTCATGAATAATTCAGCAAAACAAAAAAATTGAATGCATACAATATTTCCTGTGTATGACTCTCTACAAAAAGCCCCCTCTCTGTTGCTAACTTCAAAGATTTCTCTTTGAATTGATGCCACTTTTCTGAGACATTGATCTCGTTTATGAGCCACCTAGACTCTTGTCGAGGTGGGGGTCCCAGCTGCAGTCCCTCAACATCATTGATGATAACTGGGCAGTCAAGCGGAACAATTCCAGAAATAGAAAGAGTCAAATCGGGTTCATCATCATCAGATAAGAGAATACTTGTAGTGTGGAAGGGTGATAGAGGTTGCAAAGTCAGTTGTAAATTAGGGGAGGATCTTGGAGAGGGATTAGATTCCTGGAAAAAAAAGATAAAGTTTAAAATTTGTTAGACAAGACATATGGTTAACAGACTGAATAAATTCAACCAACCTCAGAAGATAGGCTCTCCTGGGTTAGGGATTTCTTGGTCTGTGCTCGCTTAGGAGTTGGGCTGCTGTCTGCTGCCAAAAATCTTTTTCACGTACTTTGGTTGCGGGCTGCTGTCCACTCGACCTGTTATAAATTGCTTCATTTGAGTAAATTCATTTACAATGCTGTTCACTTCTGTACCACATTTCAACTCACTTGTTCCAGAGAGTCCTTCGCTATAATTAAATTCTCCCGCATTTTGAAATGTTGATTTTTTTCCTGTATTGTACGGAGTGCCCACCATTCGCGGACATCCTTCGAAATCGTTTTCTAAAATAAAATAGAGAGAGAGAGAGAGAGAGAATTTCAGTTCCACAACAAACAAACATTTGTCTGATATTATCAGCCCAAATGTGCAAGCGGTTGTAGGCTCCAAAACGGCTATCCATAACGGACCGGCCTATATCCCTCAGTCTATCGAGAGGTCCTGAAGCCCGACCTGCCATCCGGTGTGATCGTTTACAACCTGGCCACATACCCAAGACGGCACTCCATCCAGAGATGCCATATCTCTCACTCAAGCATACTGCTAAGAGATTGTCCTGAAGCCCGACCTGCCATCCGGTGTGATCGGTTGCAGCTTTATGACACTGATCTATCAAGAATAAATGCCAGTACACTCACCCGGTGTTTATTGAGATTAGTCGCTGAGTGCATCGCAAACTTGATAAATTCATCATCTGCCTTATTTTTTATAAGGTCCTTGCATCGGAAAATGATAGCGTCTAGCAAGTCGTGGAAATAATTATGCCATTTGGTCTGTCTGTCCCGCGACGTGTTCCCAGTGATTAAGTTTTCTCTATTCTTGTTAATCCACAACAGAAAGTCAATTTCCTTCCAATCCTCTGGCTTGTTCTCCACGAAGTAATCTAAACAAACGCGATTTAAGGTAAGATAGCTGTAAAAGGTAGGACAATTGGAAGTTTTGAATAGGAACTTTGACAACCGAAATGTTCACCCGAGAATAATACTCTTGCATATTTCGTCATTGTGTCAAGGCAGATGGGCCAAGGTTTTGTGGTTTCTGGCTTTACTGAGGAGCAAGCTTTTTGGGCCTATGTAGTTTCTTTAGGGGAGTTGTTTGGGAGGGTTGCAGATCGAGAGTTTTGATTTTTCCTAATGGGTTGTGAAGTATAAACAATGCGTGGCACGCGTTTTGAAGCCACATTTGTTTATGACGTCACAAGTTCACTTTGTCTGGTTTTGTTGCAGCAAACCCTTAGGATACTAGCTATTTTTATTGTGTATTCAAGCTACTTTACGTCATCGCGAGCAAACTACGTATAAACTATTTTTTTTTTCAATCTGTAACTATTGAACATGAATATTAGAACAATTTCGCCATGTGTCTGTAACATATTTCATCCCTCTCAGTAATATGAAAGTCGTCAACATCCAAACATTTCCGCAAACTGTCGAGATTTACATGTTTGAA